GACATAAAGAGTACCCTCAACTATATGGTGACAAACTGGTACGGATCTAGTGTATAAGTGCTATGGGCCATTTTATAATCCATGTTTACCTCTACCTCTGGTACAATGGCCACCGTGGAGAATCTTTTAGCCGGCAATAGTTTTTGGTTTAAGTAACATACCGTGGTACCCCCGACCGTATGCTGACAAAGTCGTACGGATCTAGGACATAAGTGTTCTATGCATTTTAAAGGCCATGTTTACCTCTATCTCTGGTACAAAGGCTCATGTGGATAATCTCTTAATTTGGCAAGCCCGCTAACAGCGGGATTTCAATTCCAAGAACCAAGAACTCAATGCAGAGAAATAAATAAAAAGGGGCAAAGTATAAAAACGAAAAAGGAACGCATAAGTAACAGTATCAGTCGAGGGAAGAAACTGGTACATATGCGCTTACATGGTTATTTCAACTCCACGAACCCAGAACTAACACCAGAGACATGAACAGAAATAAAAAGAAATCATTAAAAAGGGGCAACGTAAAATAAGCGAATAAGGAACGATTAAATAATAGGGTATCAGTCTAAAGTCGGACAGGTTACATATGCGCTAAAAGGGTAATTTAACCTCTACGAACCAATTACTAACACCAGAGACAAGAAAATATGAAAAATGAACGCATTTAAAAGGTGCAACGTATAAAAATTAAATAAGGAACAAAAAAGTTTGAAGAAGTAACAGGGAATCAGTCGAGCGCGGAGACAGGGACATACGCCGTAACAGGGTAATTTCACCTCAACGAACCCATAGCTTACACCAGTGACACGGTAATAAAATTTAAAAAAAAACATAAAAACGGTGTAATGTATAAAAGCCAATAAGGAACGAATAAGTAACAGGGTATCAGTAAATCGCGGAAACGGGTACATACGCGCTAACAGCCTAATTTAACCTCCTCGAACGCAAAACTAAAACCAGAGTCAAGAAAAGAAAAGAAAATTTATTTGAAGGAGGCAACATATAATAAGCGAATAAAGAACGAATTAGTAGCGAATACATATCAAATTAAAAAGATTACTGGGCTTTCGCAAATCACTTTACATATTGCTCCTCCTTGATATCTTCCTTTAATTTTTAATACAATTTTTTGCATTAGAAATTGTCTTCTTTCTTTCCAACCAAGATCCTTAGTTTCTAACCAGTGAGTAAGAAAAGTATTCCTGCTTTGACCTTTAAGCCAATTTTAAACAGTCATTTATCATGTATACGCATTTCGAGTCTGTATCCTTGTTACACATTGCTGACCTAATAAAGCCAAAACTTGCAATGTTCCCCAATTCGGTTTGTAATTGTCAAAACCTTGTCATCCTAAACTTACCTTTGGCCTCTTCCAATTCAAAATGTTATTAAAATATTCCAGGGGGGAGATCCTTACATTAAAATGCTAAACAACTTTATTCTTTGGCTTCCTCTCCCATCACATATTTCAAGTCCTCATCCTCCTCAAACATATTTATTTCTTATATTTTCATTTTGATGCCATTATTTCATTACGAAGATATCTTTTTTTTTATTTTGATGCCATATTTTAATTATATGTAGTTTAATTTATTTTTTTTCAGTTTTGGTTTCGTGTCCAAAACAAATTTTGATTTAAAAACAAATTAGAATTAAAAATAATTTCGTAAGTCATAAGCGACACTTGCCTACTACGTACTCTTGTACCATTCTTCATGTGGACAATCTCTTAGAATGGCTAGCTGGCAATTGTTACAAAAAACATATGATGGATTACGTCACATACCGGGTACACCCCACCCTATGTTAACACACTCGTACAGATCTAGGTTCTAATTGCTATGGGCCATTTAAGAGGCAATGCCTACCGCTACCTCTGGTTCCAAGTATCACGTGGATAATCTCTTCGTTTGTCCAGCCAGCAATAGTAGAACTGGACTGTATATATATATATATACGTGACATATAAGATACCCTCAACTATATGGTGACAAACTGGTACGGATCTAGTGTATAAGTGCTATTGGTCACTTTAAAGGCCATGTTTACCTCTACCTCTGGTACAATGGCTACCGTGGTAGAATCTCTTAATTTGGCTAACCCGCTAACAGGGTGATTTCAATTCCAAGAACCCAGAACTCAAAGATGAGACACGAAAAAAAGAAAAAAATTATTATAAAGGGGCAAAGTATAGAAAAAGTATCAGTCGAGCGACTCGTATATATATAGAAACTGGTGCATATGCGACATAGGCAACGTATATAAGCGAATACGGATTGAATAAATAACTGGGTATCAGTCGAGCGCCGGACCGGGTTCATACGCGCTAATAGGATAATTTCTCCTCTACGAACCAATAGCTAACACCAGAGACGAGAAAAAAAAAGAAAGCATTAAAACGGTGCAACGTATAAAAATTAAATTAGGAAGAAATGAGTAGCGAATAAGCAACAGTATCAGTCGAGCGCAGGGTCCGGGACATACGCCGTTACAGGGTAATTTCACCTCAAAGAACCAATAGCTAACACCAGAGACAAGGTAATAAAAGAAAAGAAAGCGTTAAAACGGTGCAATGTATAAAAAGTGTTACGAATAAGTAACAGAGTATCTGTCGAGCGCGGAAACGGGTACACACGCGCTAACAGGCTAATTTAACCTCCTCGAACTTAAAACTAAAACCATAGTCAAGAAAAGTAAAAAAGTATTTATAGGGGGCAACATGTAAAAAGCGAATAAGGAACGAATAAGTGGCAAATAAGTAACAGGGTATCAGTCGAGCGTGGAAACGGGACAAATGCGCTAACAGGGTTATTTTAACTTTACGAAATCAGAACTAACACCAGAGACATGAAAAAAAAAATCATTTAAAAGGGGCAACGTATAGTAAGCGAAAAAGGAACGAATAAGTAACAAGGTGTCAGTCGAGCGTGGAAACGGGACAAATGCGCTAACATGTTTATTTTAACTCAACGAAACCAGAACTAACAGCAGAGACACGAAAAGAAATAAAAAGAAATCATTGAAAAGGGACAACGTATTAAATGCGAATAAGGAACGAATAAGTAACAGGGTATCAGTCGAGTGCGGAAACGGGTACATACGCGCTAATAGGGTAATTTTGCCACCTCAAACCCAAAACTAAAATCGGAGTCAAGAAAAGAAAAGAAATGAAAGTATTAAAAGAAGGCAACATATTAAAAGTGAATAAGGAACTAATAAGTAGCGAATAAGTAACAGGGTATCAATGAAGCGCGGAGATGGGTACATTCGCGCAAACAGGGTAATTTTACCTGACCGAAGCCATAACTAACACCAGAGACAAGAAAAAAAAGCATTAAAAAGGGTGCAACGAGTAATCACCGAATAAGGAACGAATAAGTAGCGAATAAGTAACACGGTAGAGCGAAGAGACGGGGACATATTCGATAACGGGGTTATTTTAACTCCACGAAACCAGAATTAACACCAAAGAAATGAAAAAAAAAAGAAATCATTAAAATGGGCTAACGTATAATAAGCGAATAAGGAAAGAATAAGTAACAGGGTATCAGACGAGAGCGGAAACGGGTACATATGCGATAATAGGGAGATTTCACCTCTACAAACCAAGAACTGACACCAGAGGCAAGAAAATAAAAGAAAAGAAGGATTAAAAAGGTGCAATGTGTATACAAATCGAATTAGGAAGAAATAAGTAGCGAATTAGTAACAGGGTATCAGTCGAGCGAGGAGACGGTGACAAACGTGCAAACAGGGAAGTTTCAAATCACAAAACCCATGGCTAACACCAGAGACAAGAAAATAAATGAAAAGAAAGCATTAAAAAGGTGTAATGTATAAAAACTGAATAAGGAACGAATAAGTAACAGGGTATCTGTCGAGCGTGGAGACGGGTACATACGCGCTAATAGGGTTATTTCACCCTCTACGAACCAAGAACTAAAACCCGAGACAAGAAAATAAAAGAAATTAAAGCATTAAAAAGGTGCAACGTATAAATATCGAATAAGGAACAAATAAGTAGCGAATAAGTAACAGGGTATCAGTCGAGCGCCGAAAGTGTGACATATGCGCTAACAAGGTTATTCTTACTGCACGAAACCAGAACTAACAGCAGAAAAATGAATAGAAATAAAAACAAATCCTTAAAAACTGGCAACGTATTACAGACGATAAATGAACGAATAAGTCGAGCGCCCTGGTACCTACTCGCTAACAGAGTAATTTTACCCCCTCAAACAAAAAACTAACGCCAGCGTCAAGAAAAGAAAAGAAATGAAAGTATTAAAGGAAGGCAACATATTAAAAGCGAATAAGGAACGAATAAGTAGCGAATAAGTAACAGGGTATCAGTCGAGCGCCGGGATGGATACATTCTCGCCAACAGGGTTATTTTACCTCACCGAACCCATATCTAACACCAGAGACATGAAAAAAGCGTTGAAAAGATGCAACGTTTAAAAATCGAAAAAGGAACGAATAGGCGGCGAATAAATAACAGGGTATCAGTCGAGTGCGGAGACGGGGACATATGCATTAACGGGTTATTTTAACTCCACGTAACCAGAACTATCGCAAGAGACATGAATAGAAATACAAAGAAATTATTTAAAAGGGGCAACGTATAATAAGCGAATATGAATAAGGAACGAATAAGTAACAGGGTATCAGTTTAGCGTTGAAACGGGTACATACGCGCTAATAGAGTAATTTCACCTCTATGAACCAAGAACTAACACCAGAGACGAGAAAATATAAGACAATAAAGCATTTAAATTGTGCAACGTATAAAAAGCGAAAAAGGAACAAATAAGTAGCAGGGTATCAGTCTAACAATTAAACCACCCTCTTCTTTATGATAAACATAAACATCCATTATAGAAGAGCTGTTTCAGTCGGTGTCAATTTTCACTAGCATTACTCGTAAGCAACTAAAAGATCGCTTTTTGGTACAGCCACTTACAAATGAAGACAGCGTGTAAAATAATGCCATGCAGAACAACTTTAGTATGTGCATATGTTTATATTAGTAATATTCGATGGAACTTTTTAAATAACAAACAAAAAGGCTATATTCAAAATGCTCAATTAGAACATTTTATCAGTTTTATCTTTATAAGCGGTTTGTGATTATTATTATTAGTAGATTAATCACGATTTACGAGTTTTATTATTAACGTAGAGTATTTATATCGTTTACAATGTGTTGGGTCTGTTTTCTGTTGTTGAAACTCATATGCGATATCTTGCACTGTAATTGAGTTGGATCGGTTTTTGGTATCGTATATGCAGAACTTCTATTTAGAACCCTGCCAGGAAGTCCTGCACCAAATGCTGTACGATCGTGAGCAATATATTTATCGGTCAATTGTTTCTTAAGCATTTCTTTTTCATGTTTTTCACGATCAAGTTCATTTGCTACCCGATTAAGTTTATGTGCAGCGTTATCCATTCGACTCTCAAAAATTTTGGATTTAGTGTTGTCTGATATCTCCTGACTAGATTTCAAATCCTTGAGAGGTATTCCGGGATTAGCAAACATTTTTAAGCAATACGTAAGAACGGCCTTCGACATTCCTTTATCGGCAGCTTTAATACATTTTAGCAGTATTTCCGGTGTATTATCCCGTCTATTCCTTTGTTGTGGAGGGCCTTTCACATCGGTCAACTTCGTCTTTTTGAGCGCAGAAATCAACACCTTTTCACATCTTTCCTTTAACGCAAACATCTGATATTCATGTGATAAAGGTAATAACCGTAGAGCCATTTTCTCTGCAAGTAAACGAAAATGAAAAATTAATCATCGCATTGAACAATATCACAAATACACTCATAAATTGTAAATTGATTGTTTGTATTAAAATTTGACATTTAAATGTTTCCGAATGTTACATCCTTCACTATATCTTAGTATTATATTATATGATACTGTAAGAATCCAAAGTTGGATTTCTCAATAGTTGTGTGCAGCCCTGTTCAAAATATTTATTTGAAGATCAGCCGAAGTAAAGTGATTTATCTTCATGTCCGTTATAGGTCTATCGAGAAAAAATGTCGTTAATGAATATGTAACGGCGGCTAAGTATTGCGGTCGACTCGTTGCAGGACTGGTATCGGATTATTGAGAAGGCAACTAAAAACAATAAAGAATTATAATGTTTCTTGGTACTTGAAATCCTTTTTTTTTACATAGAGTTGAGATAAATTATTTTGGGGAAAACGTTCTATTGGCTTCTCAGTCACTTCGGAAACTGACCCGGTTTGACCCCATTTCTCAAAGCAAGAATTGAGATCATGTGACTACCATATTTTGGCATGTTTGGGGTGCAACTGCAACGGATCTAGTGAATTTACGATATCTAAGCAGTTTCGGTGCTATTTCTATTTATACATGTATAACCTTCAACTGTCAAGTGTATAAAGAGAAAACAAATCCACTCCAATCCACAGGGCCTCGGTTAGCAGATTCAAATGTATTACATAATTAACGTATTTAACGTTGGCATCAATATTTCTTTGTTTTCTAGCAATGTGCATTTGCTATCCATATCCGTATTCTGAAAAACACTAAAGGTATCTAAGTCGCCATTTTGAATAGCCTACCCACTTGAAATAAAAAATAATTAAAACATTTCTATGTGACTATATACATTACAAAGGCATTCCTGTCCTCAAATGAAAGAAAAATTTGAAAAAACATTGATTAACAAAATTTTAATCTACTATCCGAGTCACTATGCTCCAACCATGAGAGTCCCACTCGTATGCAAATAACGATGAATCGTCCACGTGTGCTATAATTGATCTTTCTCGTTGAAAATTTTTATACTTAAATGAGCCATACCATCACATAACTACAACTTTTTTTTTACATAGAGTTGAGATAAATTATTTTGGGGAAAACGTTCTGTTGGTTTCTCAGTCACTGTCGGAAACTGACCCGGTTTGACCTTACTTCTCAAAGCAAGAATTGAGGTCATATGACTACCATATTTTGGCATATTTGGGGTGCAACTGCAACGGATCTAGTGAATTTACGATATCTAAGCAGTTTCGGTGCTATTTCTATTTATATAACCTTTAACTGTCAAGTGTATATTAAAGAGAAAAGAAATCCACTCCAATCCACAGGGCCTCGGTTAGCAGATTCAAATGTATTATATTATTAACGTATTTAACGTTGGCATCAGTATTTTTTGTTTTCTAGCAATGTGCAGTTTGCTATCCATATCTGTATTCTGAAAAAACACTAAAGGTATCTAAGTTGCCATTTTGAATAGCCTACCCACTTGAAATAAAAAATAATTAAAACATTTCTATGTGACTATAAACCTTACAAAGGCACTCATGTCATCAAATGAAAGAAAAATTAACAAAATTGTAATCTACTATCCGAGTCACTGTGCTCCAACCACGAGACGTCCCACTCGTATGCAAATAACGACGAATCGTCCACGTGTGCTATAATTGATCTTACTCGTTGAAAATTTTTATACTTAAATGATCCAAACCATCACATAACTACAACATTTTATAGTTGAGTTGGATTATGTATAAATTGGATAACATCAGTTCTCGATAATAAAAAGGGAAAGTAATTTGTAAATGTTTTGATTTGTACGCGTTTTTGCTTTAGGTTTGTTTCGCTCCTTGCCAACGACTATAAATTATAGAGCATTCTACGAACGTAAAATAATATATTGCAAATGAAGTAAGTACCTCGGTAGGTTACTTGCGTCGAATGTAGTAGGTCGTGTGTTTGATCCCTGACTTGTTCAAGCAAAAGAAATAAAAACTTAGTCACGTATTGACGGGGATAAATATAGAAGGCAGAACACAACCATACTGTTTAATATTCACTTCATATATATTTCTGATTTCTAAAGCTACGTCCAGCACTGACTCGAATCCTAGATACAATTGGTAAAACGCGATATTCTCAACATTCTTTGGGCCACGAAAAGTGAGTATAAAAAATGAATGAAAATCAATGTTTCTCAAAATTAAAACTTAAAACTTTAAAACATTCGCACAGTCACTAACTTCCAGTTCAGATTAAATCTATGAAATGAATTACAATGTGTCTATTTCGTACACAAAAATCACAGTGAGTCTATATTTCTGCACACCTGTTCACATAGGCAATTAAATAGTATTATATATAAAAATATGGAGATATGGTATGGTTGCAATAAGACAACTATCCAAAGAGTTCAAATGTTGAGGAGAAATCCGATGCGCCAAAAATGTGGCTTTTTACGCCACAACACATTTGGACCAATGCTATGTTTGCGACACAATTTTTCAAAATACATAATGTTATTTGCACCAAAAATAAAGGATAGGATTGCGCCAATTAAAAAAAACAAAGATTTCCCTCATCCTTAGTATATTTAATATAAGTGGTGGCACTTTGGACAACACTAGAATGTTCCATCTGCAAATACATCTTCTACATCCAAGCAAAGGAATTAAACTTTAACTTCACAACCAAGAATTCCAAAGCCACTTTCAATATCATTCACTAAAACAAAGTCTTCATCTTTATTTGTTACGATTTCAGTTTCATGTTCAATTTCCTGAAACTCTTATTGACTTTTGGTCTGAGCTGGGTATAGTTTCCTTCTTTCTATGAAAATGGATTGTCTGATACATTGAAAAATTAGTTCGTTTCATGTGATTTCTTCAATATGAAACAATTTCGAACATATATTATACTTGTTTTGTTCAGAAATGTCTTATTAGAAATGTCAATTTCATGACTATCCATGTACGGTAATATATTTATCCGACGACCATAATTAAGATGAGCCGGAGTAAATGGTTCAAGATCCACTGTGTTTGAAGAAACGTATGTAAACGGTCGATTGTTTAACACTGATTCTATCTCTGTAACGATTGTCAGTACAGTCTCTAAATCCACATGCGATCTTCCGAGGACCTTTTTCAAATTTGTTTTTGTCATTCCAATAAGAAGACCCCCAGCCCCTCCCCCCAAACACACCCCAAAAAACCATGGAGCTCGTTATGGTCTATTCCTTATGCTGCTAATGTCTCATTTAACTTTTTTGAATTACAAAGTTGTTTAATGTCTTATTAGGCGGATGCAAAAGTACAAGCATTGTCTGTCATAACCACTTTCGGTAACGATTTTCTGCTTGAAAAGCCCATAAAGCATGTAAAATTGTTTCTTCCGTAAATTTGTAAAAGCTTCAAGATATATCGCTCTCGTGAAGGCGCAATTGAATAAACATATGTTTGCTTTCTTCTTGGCATTAAAATAATCCTTCATTTGTAAGGCGCCTGAGACATTTATTTCCGTAGCTGTAAAGGGGTCGGCTACTTGAAGTCGAATCTTAGGTAAAGGCGGTGTATCCGGTGCTGCATATGGTTGTCTAATAACCTTTTGAAAAGTAACACATTTCTTAAGTTTTTTCCGTACAAAATGTCGGATTGCGGGTATCTACAAACTTTATCTCACGTATACAATTGTGGCAATTACTTCGGAATGACACAATCTTTCATGGGCATCTAATACTATAATATTCGAAATTGGATGATTTCGAATTTAGGTAAAATATACTGAAATGAGGAGGACTCCGATAAGGGCGCATTTTGAAATCTTCCTCCACACCTGATGATTCTCCTGGCATCAAGAAATAATCGTAATTGTCTGAATCTCTGTATAATATTCCGTGTTTTACTATTGTACTTCAATGCGTGATATTCCGTTGCAAAAGCCGTATCCTGTCAATTTCGGATCCATACCTGAGCAGATTTTGATAGTTCACTTGGTTTCAAATTTTCTATTGTCCTCAAACTTTTTTCAATTCTACAGTTGTCTATAAATCGTAGTACATGTACATACGACGTTAACTTAAGATGATTCATGCTTGAATAAATACCAAAGAGATATAAATGAATTATTATTTTAATTGGCAAAATAAAGGCCACGGCTCACAAATTTATCAAACATTATCATCAATAAAGATGAAACATTAGCATGATCATGAATCACAAATGATCAAAATTAACACATTAGCGTGGATCACTGTTGATCAGTTATAATATTAGCATGGATCACGATTGATCAATTAAAACCTTAGCATGGATCACGATTGATCAATTATAACATTAGCATGGATCAAGAATGATCAATTAGAACCATCTGTACAAAAAGAGCACTTTATCATTACTGTCCATTTATGAATACTGACATTGACTTTAAAAATACTGGCCCTGGGAACAGAAGCTCAATAACGGATATTATAGTCCATTATGTGAACATGGTGCAAGATTGTTGGTGTTGTGTCGCTTTCCCGCCAATCTTCTTCAGATAATCCTTCAAAAAAATTAGTTGATTTTTAAGAGAATGAAAATGTTCATTGATCCAACGCTTCTGTGTCAAAATACTTCAACATTTGTCCATTAGTTAATGTGTAGAAAGTTCAATTATAGAATAACGATCAAAATTTGAACGGAATATAGCTAATTAAATCTCTTCTTGAGTCATCTTGGAATTTCTACACTTGGTGAGCCATGACGAATCATCATACACCATTGGGTACACGGAAATAATATATGTCCATAAAACCTGAAAAATAAATCAAAACAGCAGCAGTATATCGCCAAAATACACATTTTAAAATCAAGAGGTGGGAGGGTGGGTTTTTCTTACATTACATAGAAATATATTAATACAAAACCCAGAATTTACTCTGACGAAAAATGTCTGCCTGTTCTTCTTTAAATCTCTGAACGCCAATGCAGGC